TCCACACTATTAATGAACCACTAATAGTGTATTAGCCTTCATTCACCACCAATCACAGAGGTGTGTGGGCTGCTGCACAGGCTGCCCCATGGACAGCAGGCCTGAGGTGCGGGCGGCGGTCTCTGCTCACATCTGCTGAGGTCTGGGGGGTAGTGCACCTGTGCTCCAGCCTCCTACTGTCACATTGTGCTCTCCACACACGTCATGCTACATGGACTAGGGGGACACTTTCTGTGAGCTGTTCAAAACTCAGGTACTGCTGAGGCTGGTGGGGCGAACCCCTGTGCCCAGCTGGCCCTTTCTATTTCTGGAGGCCCATCTTGCTGCTAAAGGAGACACGCAGAAACCAACACGGATCAAGTGGTCAACTCCCTGATGAAGCATCAGATGCCTCCTCCACCTGCACCCACGGCCTGGCCGGGGAGGAGTGGCAGCTTTCCCAGCTCTGAGGTCTTCCCTCTGCTGGAGGAAAGCCCGGGGATACCTAAGAGGCAAGCTTTCAGGGAATGATGGGAAGGAAGAGAAGGAATCAAAAACTGAAGTGACCAACCTTCCCAAGCCTGGTTAAACGGATTTATGGCTGTTTTTGATCTGCTCTTAAAAAGGCAAAGGATGGCCTGCTGGGTGCCGATCTGTAGGAACAAACTCCTTCCTCAGCTCAGGGCTCAAAATATACCCCAGCCAAGATGTCCTGACTCTGGCTGCCAGTGTGCAGAGGGAGGCCACAGCAGGTCAGAGTTTAGGAAGCCAAGGGAGCACCTTCACATCACCCGGTTCTCGGCCCAGAAGGACCAGTGGGTATTTCTGAAACAGCTTAACAGCAAGTGCAGCCAGGCTCCCGCCAGCACAGTGGGATGAACATGTAATAAAATGATGTTCTGGCCATCGGGAAAGGACGGTCATTCCCCACCAATCAGAACACGTATCATAATCCCAAGACAGCAAAAGCTCTGATGCCCGAAAGAAAAAAGCACGCTGCCCTGGCATGGGGAACCAGCAGCCTGGCCCGGCTGCCAAGCACGCACCACAGTGCTTGCTGACACCGCTCTGTAACGGGGCGCGGGTGAACCGGCTCAGTCCCCCTGCGGTTCCCTGGCTCTGACATCTAAGCGACGCCACTCCCCTCAGGGGGAAGGCTGGCAAATCCTAACACTCCTGTCAGTCTGAAAACTGGAGACGTTTCTTAAAAACAACCGCTTCCTCTTCTACCCAGGCAGGTGAGCCCTGGAGGAGTGGCCCGATGCCCGCGGGGCGAGGCCTCAGCCGCTTGGGAAACCCAGGCTGGACGCAGGCTCCACAGTGGATTTTCCGAAACCACAACTTTTGTGGGAAGAGACTAAGACTGTGTGTGAACTCAGAGCCACCACAGGACACTCGGCCCGGGTCAACTTATGGAAGAAAGGAAAACTGCTCTCCTGAGTGTCACAGCAGAAAAACTGCAATAAGAAAAGGAAGCCATGCCAGCGCTTCCAGGTCTGTCCCAGGGTCTGACGGGAGGCCGCCCCACGGCCCTCGGCACGGGCCAGCTGCAGCCAGGCCCGACGGCCACCATCAATCAGATGGCTCTCGCAGCATGTCAGTGGTTTTAATGAGGCGTGCTCTACCAGGTCCTAATTTGTTGAGCGGCCATGCTCCATTTCCATTTTGACATACATCATACTTCAATTAAAAAATTAATGAGTCCCAATTCCCCAACCCATTCCACAACAGGATCTCCCATGGCCTCCCGCTCAGCCTGAAGAGGGAGACGGCCCCCAGGCTGTTTCCAGCCAGGTGAAGCCTGTGCCTTTCAAGCCGCCCAGAAGCTACCCGGGCAGGTGAATGGCCTGGCTCTAAGAAGGAAACTTCCTCTATGTCCCTAATTTTTGTTTTTCTATTATGTGAATTTAAAATTATTCCTCAGGCTGGACACAGGGGTGCACACCTGTAATCTCAACAGCGTGGGAGGCAGGAGGATTGGGAGTTCAAAGCCAGTCTCAGCAACTTAGCAAGTCCCTAAGCAACTCAGTGAACCCTGTCTCTAAATAGAATACAAAAAAGGCTGGGGATGGGGCTCAGTGGTCATGTGCCCCTGAGTTCAATCCCTGGTACAAAAAAGAAAAAAATCCTCAGAACATTCCTATCTATACTCTAGCACCTCAGATTACTAGTGAATTAAATTACTTAACACCTTCTCTTCAAACAGATAAAACTGACACACCACGAGGCACCATATTCAATGTGCTGCTGTGAATGTGACTCCCCAGAGCAGCCGAGCACACAGAGAGCCATCCAGGCAGCAGAGACAGGGCTCCGGGGGCTGCAGGGCGTCTCAACTCCTTCTTAGAATTTAAATCATCTAAAAAAAGGTGGATGAGTATTGGGAAAATCCGATGGGCTAAGAACACAAAGAGAAGTGCCAGGCAGAGGGCACACAGAAGGTACGTCAGTTTTCTGTCACTATGACAAAACACCTGAGATAATCAACCTTCAGAGAGGAAATGTTCATTTAGGCTCACAGTTTCAGAGGGTTCGTTTCATGGGGTCTTAGCCCTGCTACTTCTGGGCCTGTGGAAAGGCAGAATCTCACGGTGGGGAGCGCAGCATGGTAGAGCAAGGATGCTCACTCCATGGTGGCTGTGAAGTCCAGAGAAGGAGCCAGGTTCCCAATATCCCCTTCCAGGGCATGCCCCCAATGACCTCACTTCCTCCCACCAGGCCTCACCTCTTAAAGGTACCACCACCTCCCAACAGCACCATAGGCTGGGGACCAAGCCTTTAACACATGTGCCCCTGGGAGACATTTTAGATCCAAACTGTAATGGTATGTATTCAACAAATGTGTACTCTGGGGTACACATTCTGGAGAGCTGAAAAGAGAAAAGCGGTATGCTCTGACAGCATCCTACAGAATGCCCTAGACTATAGTCATGCATCCATGACAAATGCAGCTGGGAACTTCAACCTGCACCCGAGCACCAGCCTGCACCAGCCTGCACACTGAACCGCAGGCTGAGTTCTCCTATCCAGTATTTGGTGCAAAACCGTTTCTGATTCTCTCCTTTTCTCCTGTCAATGCTGTGAGCCCAAGAAAACTGCCATAAAAGCAGATGCACACAAATCTCAAGGAGATGGAGTGATGAATCCTGAAGAAAGTACAAAGCTTCAGCTGCCCACAGAACAAAGCAGCCCATTCGACACCAAGTGTTTGAGGGGAAAAAATGTGCTTATCCTTCCTTGGGCCTTATGTTTAGTTTATTTCTGAAACAGGGATAACTGAACAAGAGACTCAGCCAAGCACACACTCACTTGAGTTTAACAGGAAAAGAGACCCCAGCAGGCAAGCCGAGCAGAGACCGAGCACATCTTTACTTCCGAGCCACCTCTTCTACACAGGCAGCCAGATTCCTGACCAAGAAGGGAAGACGTGCCGTTCCCAGACCTGCGCTGCAGTGCTGCTTTATGGAATCCTGGGGCCCTGGAGGCCAGGAGAGTAGCTTAGCACAAAGCACTCACTGCACACCAAGTTCAGAAGTGGGTGGATGGGACAATTACACTACATCAAGTCCCCCTCCTACCTTCCAAGGACACTACCCACCCACCTTTACGTTATTTCTCAACAAAGTCCACCCACTTGGTAGGCTCAGGGCTTTACACATCAGACCCAGCCCACCCAGTGCTTACGCCAACATTTACAAATCAGGATATCTTGCATAACGATCCAAATGCATGGCTCCAGAAAACTTGAAAATGAGCAACAGGTGAGAAGATCATGCTTCCAAAAGGGCACAAGTGCTCTCCCAGGTGAGGCCTGTCCCCAGACTCTGCCACCCTTTCCCTACAGCGTGTCCACTTCAGTGACTTCCTCCCCTGCTGGTTCTTGGTCTGTATCTTGGTCTGGTCCTGGGCTTACAGTGATTCATTTGCATCATGATTCAATCTTCCATCCTTCAATGCTCCTCTAAAATGTGCATCTGACTAACCTGGGACTGTCACTTCTATACCACAGGGCCACAATCTCAGGACCTTCATCCTCCTGATCTCCCAAAGCCCATCTACATGTGAACTATGGCAAGCTCACAGGTCTTTCTGCAGCTCCTCTCAGTCGCATGCCTGCCTCTCACTGGGAATTCGTGTGTCCATAAGTTTACATTAGTAGCATCGTGGATGACTTTCAGACTGTAGTGCTGCCTGTGAAGGGCACAGTCTCCTACCAAAACTGTTCTGAATCCATGCACTGGAATTAAATAAAGTGCCACAGCAGAAGAACGAGTTTTTGATCCCCTATTTTAGAAGATCTTGCTGATGAGCCTTGTTTGGCTGCTGGGGATCACACCCAGGAAGACCCAGGGCACCAGGGGAAGAGAGTACACTTGGCTTCCCGACCTGTGAGAGCCAGGGCCGAGGGCTGAGTGGTCTAGGAGGGTCGTTTGGCCTCCTGAGACTCAATCTCATTTTATTTCTCTTCAATTCTTCCTTACAAATGTTTTCTAACATCCCTGCCTTTTCAGCTCATGTCACAGTACCAGTTATTCAGAGGCATCATCTTGAGACCAATCACTGGAGTATTCAATGAGCTTCAAGGATGAACTGAATATCTGACACACAGACGTGCTGAGCTCTTTCACAGGAGTGAGGCTGCTACAGGACTCTACAGGGCAGATGCTGGTCAGGCACTGGCTGGAGATACCAAAAAGGCAGACGCCTTGCTGGGCCTGCAGCCTCTTCCTCAGGGTGTCTAACTTCTAGAAACGTTAAGACAAGGCAGTAGGGGGAGGGGTCAGGCCGTAATCAACCTGAGAATGCTTATCATGGGCTTTATCAACAGATGGTCTCAAAGGAAGACCACCATATGAAACTCATCTTCTCTCTGTCCGGAAGAATCTGGGAGCCCAGTGGTGCTGTCTGGCTCAGGAGAGAAAGGGTTTCCTGTGTTTTGAATTCCACACAGAAAGAGTTACACAAAAGCAGGCAATTACGAGCAACAGCCTCAAATGAAACCACATGAAGAAGGCACGTACCAGGTCGATCAGGTCACTGAGGTTCTTCTCGATCTGCTGTGGAGGCAGGCGCCTCATGAGATCCAAGGCACAGTCCAGCTGCTGATCACTCTGTGGAAGGAAAAGAGAAGCACTAAGTAATTTTTGTCAATATCAAAAACTCGTTCCAAAACCCATTCCTGCAGTTGCTGCTTGCTTGGGGGAGTTCTAAGCCCCAGAGAGACCCACAGTGGCCCGGCCCTCCTGAGCCTGCAGGCTAGAGGAGACACTGCACAGGGTGTCACCCCCTTCCAGTGCAGAGCCCCCAAGGGCTCTCCAACAACTCGGCAGACCTGGCAGCTGCAGATGCATCAACTCCCAGCTGGTTCTGTGGAGAGCAGGGCAGGCTGCAGGCTAGGGTCACCCTGCCTGTAACCCAGATATGAGTGGCAGGTAACGGAGCCGAGTCAGGGGAGAAACTAGGCGAGGAATCAGTGAGTGGCAAGAGGCACAGAGAGAGTCAAAGTGCTTCATTCTCCCAACTGAAACTCAGCCAGTCCTCTCAGGTCCTGTGTGCACTGGAGTAGGCCTGAAGCAAGCTTCAGGGAAGAGCTTGCGCTCCCCCGCGGAGGGCACAAGTGCCGTGAGCTGTGGGACAGGAGATGGGCAGTGCTCTCACTCCCTGGGCGCCTCTCTAAAGCATGGTGTGTTTCCCAACACCGCCTCTCCTAATACTGCTACTGTGAAGACTTACGGGGCGCCACGAGGTGCCAGTCACCGTAAACATACACAAAACGATAAGGGAAGAGAAGGCAGGTGGGCGGGGCCTGAAGGCGGGCAGATGGCAAAGTGCACAGTGAAGGCTGGGTGGCGGGCGGGGTGATGATGGCTGGCACTGCAGCACAAGAGGCCAGATTCTAAGAGGAGCAGGAAGAAGGGCCAGGTGAATAACGCAAAGACCCCTGACTGCAAGCAAGGCAGGTGGAGTCCCTGACACTGCCACCAGAGAGGCACCGTCTGACCTGTATCTGAAGCTTGCACTGCTCAGACTAATTTCAGGACTTTTGAAAGTCCTAAATCAATAAACTAAGAGTCTCATAAAATATACAAAGTAATCCTCAAAATGCCATGTTTGGCTGTACGACAGACACCAAGGCCTATTAACCATCAGCAGGCCGTGGGGCCAGGCCCCATTTTATATCCACGGCAGACACAATCCATTTTCACATGTTCACATGGCATGTGCATCAGGATGGTCAAAATTAAGGCCTGTCCCTTGCTCAAGGTGGTTATCAGCGACACTTTATTCTAGGACATGCAACAATCTGGCTACCCTGCAAAACCTAAAACAACCCCAGGCTAGAAACCTGGCCACCAGCTCTGCCTAATTCGGCCCTATGCCAGCAGGTGTCAGCTGAGGCCATGGGGTGGCTCAGAAAGAAATTTTAATACCATGTCTAGGGAGACACAGGTAAGCTGACCTGTCCCTAGAGAAGGCACTTCCCAGGGCTGCACTTATCACCCGGCGACCTGGGGCAAGCTTCTGCCAGCCTCCACCCATAGGACGGGGGCAAGCCCATGGATGACTCTCTCATGGAGAGTTACAGTGACTTGGATAATTCATGTGGAAAGTAACAAACATCACAGGACGTGGTCCACGGCTGGGGACCACATGCAAATATACATACAGGTTTTAAAGATCTAAAAATACTTTTTAAAGTAAGTACTTTAAATATTCCCAATATACACTCAACCCACCCTGCCTGACCTCTCCTGTGGCCTTGAACTAGAGTTAGGCAGTCAAACTCCACAAAAGGCTGTGCGCTCTCTTGCCTGTGCAAGAATGAAAACCCCAAGTTCTCAAGTCAAGCGGAACTCACTAAAAGCTATAAACCAGCCCTTCCCACTCGGGATGATTCCTCCTACGCACACACCCCTCTAGCCAACCTGCTGCCAGGAGATGTGGGGCCAACTAGGGAGACATTTTGACTGTCACAACTGGGGAAGGGGAAGCTGCCATCATTTAACGAGGCAGGGATGATCTGAACACCCAACAATGCAAAGGACAGATTCCCCATAACAAAGATTCCCTGGCCTAAATGTTAAAGGAGTCAATGCTGAAAAACCCTATTCCAAAAATAATCCGTTTCTTTTTTGGAGTGTCAGGGGCTTCTGGTTCCTAGAATCTGGTAAAAAAAAAAAAAAAAAAAAAACTTGTCCAGCACGAGAGAAACCTTTTATAACAGTTCTAATTCACATACCACTCATAAGACCTAAAAACTTCTGGTTTTTGGAAAATAAGCAGATCTTAACAATCTTCCTCTGAACTCCTAGGCAAACTTAGAAGCAAGCCCAGCTAACTTGAAACTGTAATCCAGAACATGCTGGGATTCGGGAGGGAGCAATTGGAAATTTAGCAGTGTTCTTCAGAAAGGGAAAAGCCACATCTTGACCAGAGAAGGTCAATGCCAGAGGAACATGATTTTAATCCTCTCTCTGGGGGTCCCCGCCTCACACCCCGAGCCCCCACGCCAATAGGCCCCCACGCGAGGGTGCTGGCGCAGGAGGGCTTCCTTCCAGGCGGTCTGGCTGCGCCTCGCTGGCAGCACTAAACACTCCCAGGGCCATTGAGCTCATGTTTTGTACTCATCCCAATTAATCTTAATTGGAAATGTTTCACAACAAATTTCTAGGGCTAAGGATGTTTAACTATCATTAAATTAGGAAATGACTAAATGCTTCCCATAAGTGAAGCAACATGGGAAGGCTTAGTGGCAGCTTGTAAAAAGTTTAAAATTAGAGTCAACTGCAGCCTTGCTCGGGAGTCATCTCATACCCTACGGGGTCCTAACGGGAAACAGCATGGAGAAAACACGGCTGATCTACAGCACACGCAATGGCACGGGCGAGCCTGGAGATGGGACGGTGACAGGACTTCGGGAAGACTACCTGGGATGCCACCACTCTTACGAGGCTCAGAAACAAACGACGGTGATCTCTGTTATTTAGATGGACATGTGCACTTTCAACTGACAGAGCAGAGCTTGCTTCTTGTTAAGATAAGTGAAAGGAATGATAAATAAAAAATTCAGAAAAACGAGAAGTTACCAGGGAAACCACCAGGGGAAGACGAAGGTTATTCTGCCCGGGTCTTACATGGAATGGTAAAATCAAGGGTACTCATTAGATCATGATGCTTAAAACTTACACCAGTATGTTCCTACGTCATTATCAGAGGTCTAAATGTTTTTTAAAGTACAAACAAGATCAAGTGAGGGCAGGATTTAGGTTAAGTCCAGGGTGGAGGTCTTTCCTGTCACTAGATGTCTGTGATTTGGGCTTCATTTAACAGTGTGACATGGGACTTGGACTCAATGGCCTCTAAGGTTCCTTCTAGATGGACAATGCCCTCTATCTTGTAGGGAGTGCAAATGTGCCCACCACTGGGTGCCACCCGCCCTGCAGTGGCTCACACTGCTAAAAACATCATCCCTTCAACAAAACCATTGTTCTGGACTCAACCTCCTGCAGGCCAGCAACTAGGTGACAATTCAGCAACCAGGCGTTCAGTGCTACACTCAGGCCACATCCTGACCCTCCAGGAACCGATCAGCCATAAAACAGCAAATGATCACCAGTCACTAGGCCGTGTGATGTGGACAAGTGGAACATCACAGGATGTGGAGGCCCGGAGACAGGGAGTCACATCTGCACTTCCTTCTGGCAACCATTTTCCTAGGGTCCCCCTTGTGGTCACTCCTCCTAACCAGCTTCCTATTTATCTTGTAAACTGTCACCCCTTGATCAGGACAGCTTCTTCAAAATGTCAACTGCTCCTATAGTTCTGCCTCCCACTGGTGCCCTGGGCTGAAAAACAGTATAGGAATGGCCACTTCACTTCACCCTCCAGGATCTCTGCCCATTCAATTAGTCATTCGATAATTATTGTTGAATGTTTCCTAGGTAACAAGCACTGTGCTTGATGCTGAGTGGGGAACGTGAAGTCCCTGGAGCTTATGGTGTACCAGAGCTTCTGATATGGTCACAGTCAATAGGGAAAAAACTCAAGGGCGAGTCCATGTGCGGGTGTGCAGGGGAGAAAGGCTGTTTCCCCACCTTAAACCTCTTGAGCGCACACAGGTGGAAATGCTCTGTTTTTGCTGGTTTACATATGACTTAAAGCACAAAACTGCTTAAGTCATCCTGTGACAAGTAAAATACAGTTAACATGGACCAGAACAATGTTTCAGAACAAAATTAAGTAAAATGCTTCAGGCTAAAATATCTGCTGAAGAGTTCAGACACCGGACAAAGCCACAGATCATCTACAGACAGCAAACCCAGGTCTATGCAACAAATCCCACACAGAAACCACCAGCAGGTAAACCCCATTCAGCTCCTAGGTGGGGTGCGAACACACCGTAACAGGGTAGACCCACCATCGTGTACTGATGAGCACTGCTATACAGGCACCCGGCGAGGGGACAGGGAAGCCTAGGAGATTTTCTCAAGAGCAGGCACAGGATCTGGACCATCTCCCTGTGCCTTAGGCAGTGCCAGGGGCCTTTTCAGGACGCAGGGCACCTGGTCAGAGCACACCATTCACTGGGGGCAGAGGGAGAGAGAGATGGGAGGAGTACACTGTGGGGGGTGGGAGCATGGGAACTAATGGAAGCAATAAAACCACCCCTGTCCTTTGAGGTCATTAGGTCTTGGGGTGACTATTAGATGGCAACAGAGACTGACACAGAAGGATTCCTGTGGCGACCTTGGGAAGGCAGTTCAACTAGAGAAGAGACTGGAGCAGGAGGGCCAGCACGGGAGCCTCTGGCTGGAAGGGTGGAGGGGCAATCTAGGGGGCAGAATGGAGAGGAGTGGTTCTTCCCAGAGAGGGGAGGGCCAGAATGGATTCCTAGCTGGGGCCACCTGCCGAAGGGGGGCCTTCTCAGGGTGCATGTGGTTCATGTCTATCCTTTTAAAACACAGTGTTTGTAATTCCAAGGACACGCAGCAACTCAGAATGCTAATATTCCCAGCAGGAGCCCTGCCTGGCCTGCCCCAGGACTGGTCAGGGCAGATCTAAACTCCATGGGGGGGGAGGGGTCCATACATAAACAACCCTGCAATGCTCT